AATACGAGAACCTCTGGCAACCAGGGTATCACCTTGGCAGTTTGAATAATAATTATGGTGGAAATAACAAGGGCAGATTTCGTGCTCGACCAATCAGCGCATTTGTTTACATTTCCGCTCTCAGCTAATCATAATGCAGGAAACGATAAATTTACACCAAGCTGAGCTAGAAAATATTGCCGTCTTCTCGGGGTTCCGTGAGATTCAATTTTAACTTTTTAAATTTAAAATCAAAAGATTACGATGAAGCACATTAAAATCTAAAACTTTGCCGTGGGCATTTTTAAATTTCGACCTAGAACTGAAAATATCCATGTTTGAAATTTTTCCCTATGTCGCGTATACAAATTTGAGTAATCTAATTTGACTGCAATAAAACTAAAAAATGCTGTATTTTCTCTGCCGACTCTGAGTTTAAGTTTTTGTTGGAAAACTCTTTTTCGCTCTTGTTGCAAATTGTTTTGGTCAATGTTTTATATCAAAACCTAGACGATAACGCGTTTATAGCGCTTGATTTAAAAAAAATAGTCGCACGCTGGCGATCATTCAGGCAATCAATACAAAACTATTGTCTGACCGATTTTGCAGAAAATCAGACTCTCTAAACAATTATCTTCTAGGTTATGAAATAATACATTGACCAAAATGAATCTCAACAAGAGCGATCGCGAAAAAGAGTTTTCCAACAAAAACGTAAAGCAGAGAAAATATAGCAATTTTTAATGTTATTGCAGTCAAATTAGATTACTCAAATTTTTGTATACGCGACATAAGGAAACATTTCAAACAAGGATATTTTCCGTTCTACAATCAGTTTCAAAAGTCTTGGGACAGATGCCACAAAACCTTGGAATTTCAACAAACCGTCAATCCCCCCCGCCCCCTGTTCAATGTTGTGTCCCATTTCAGGTTTGATGTGTTTTGGTTAGGACAACATTGATTGGGGTGGGGGGAAGGGGAGGGGAGCGGTATTGTGTGTAAAAACTATGATGATCCACTTACAATCTAAAACTACATGTGTCCCAACAACTTCTGAAAGTGATTGCCTGGGCCCAATATACCATAACACCATTGTATATCTCAAAAGTACAGGGGATAGAATGATCTGCGAACGAAGTATTTCTGCTCCATTTCGTTCACAGAAGATCTAATATAACATTTTAAAACAATAATTAAGTTCCATTAAAGTTCTCAAAGTTAATAATTAACAGAATATGAATATAACTTGTTATGTCATATAGCATTCTTTATCGTTGTTTGTTTTTACAAATTGCGGCAGAGCACAAGTGGGTTATTTGAGAGGTTATATAGTTTCACATTAACTTACTGTTAATTTATAGCATAGTAATATAACATCCGGTTACTTTCGCATGCGGGTAACGGCTGAGTCAACTGCTAATTCGGGTACTCCGAAGGTAAAGAACGTTTGCTTTATAATCACTTATGGTCAATGTGACATTTCACATCTTGCTAGAGCGCAATTTGCAGATAAAATTGTCGACGCATGGGTAGGAAGGAGCACTGAATAGGTCGGAATGTCGGAGGCTCATGGAATGGGCGGTATTCACTTCCGAACGGCAAAAAAATTGTCCACAAGATTGAGGTGGCGAGCTATCGGATAGCTCGAGAAGAGTAAATGTGGCATTTAATTCAACCTTTCCGCAGACAATCTCAATAATTACTATTCAGCGTATTCGTACGTGGTAAAGGAAGACCTGGACTTGGTGATTTCTCCAGGGCTTATAGACCTCCTCAATGCTGACGCGTTAGCGAGTACTAGCGCGATCCGCCGAAGCAAGAAAGTTGTACAGGCTTCCAAAAATATGTAACGAAAGGGACTCGCAGTATACGGCGTTGTACGCATTATACAACACTGATGTTAGTGTTATACGCAAATTATGCTAATAAGCGTTTCTGGACGAGACGAATGCAATGAAACTAACATCGGTTGACACTTCGATTGTCACTACAGAAATATGAAATAACAGGCATCTAGACATCTTTTAAAACAGAACAAGGCTAAGAATAATCTGTTGAGAATGTCCAACAATGTATTTGCTATTAATGAAAGGGTTTGAAATTGATTAAACCAAGTTTTGGATCGATTGACACTTTTTTACATAAATAGATCTGATATATCATAGTGATATTTCTAGAGTTGAGTGTCAATCGATACATTTTATACAATTTATATACTTTGTGATTAAGTAGAACCCGTAATATTTCAATAAGGGCTCTCTAAACACGTTTGCTTAGTACTTGATGTTCTGAAAATGATTATGCCGCGACAATTGAAAGTTATATCAATGAAAATGCTATGTGTTTCAAAGTGACAACCGAGCACGTGTTCAAGCCGTTTTATATTACATACATGTTTTCATGTCAAATATGCACAATCTTTAAGTGGTCTTCGATAACTTACCTTTGCATTTTATTTAGCATTAACCTAGGTCGATAATTAACCAGATAGATGTATTCCTCCCTTGCATATAGACCAGGTTTATTCGCTCGGCATACTACCCTCCCCACACTCACATCTTCCAGTATAAGCTCATTTACATTTCAAAGATATTGACCACAACCGAAGCACAGTAAGGACGTTACATATGGCAATGCAATTCAGTAAACATGTTATACTAAATGCAATATGATTCTCGCGAAACTGATATTCTAAAATACCCGGTAATTCAAAGAGGTTAAATATGCCTTTCATTGCCTTTCAGACAATCAGTTTCAAAAGTCTTGGGACAGATGCCACAAAACCTTGGAATTTCAACAAAACGTCAATCCCCCCGCCCCCTGTTCAATGTTGTGTCCCATTTCTCGTCAGGTTTGTTGTGTTTTGGTTGAAGCAACATTGATTTGGGTGGGGGGAGGGGGAGGGGAGCGGTATTGTGTGTAAAAAACTGCGATGATCCACTAACAATCTAAAACTACATGTGTCCCAACAACTTCTGAAAGTGATTGTAGGTCGAAATTTTAAAATGCCCGCGGCAAAGTTTTAGATTTTAACGTGCTACATCGTAAACTTTTGGATTTAAATTAAAAAAGTTAAAATTGAATCTCAACGAAGCCCGAGAAGACGGCAATATTTTCTAGCTCGCCTTGGTGTAAATTTCTCGTTTCCTGCGTTATGATTAGCTGAGAGCGAAAATGTAAACAAATGCGCTGATTGGTCGAGCACCAAATCTGCCCTTGTTGGTGGAAATGTTTTCAAACAACGACTTCTGATCTATTTTGACAGGTTTTACGACTTAAACATGATAGAGCTAGCTGTGTCCTTGATGCAACTGATCTTCATGCAAAGAAGGCGATGGAAGTTGAGAAACAATTCAAACAACATCAACCAGAAGAGACTACTCTTGTACTTCAAGCAATCAAATTCTTTCCACAACTATTCACTTGAAATGTTTACAAGTATTGCACAGATAGAAGCTCTTGCATCAGCGGAAATGGCGCATAGACTCACATGGGGCAGATTTGTGAAATGGCATGGTGGTAAAGGTATAAATATTGCTAGCGACTAGCCTGCGTAGCAGGCGTTATTTAGGGGGGAGTGCGAGGGTTGGAGAAGCTAGGGAGGACGCGAAGGCGAGAGAAAGAGAGCGAGGGAAAATGGGAGGGGCGAGAAAGAAATAGCGCTTGCAGGAAAGCCATATGTTTTCTCATATTTCGCGTCCGTGAGCGGACGCGAAATTCTGATTGGCTAGTCAGTCATCAGGGTTTTCCCAATTACATTCCCTGTGGTTCCTGTGGTTTTAGATGAGTTCAGAATAGGGGCCTTAGTAGAAGGGAGTATTGACGAAGTTCTTTCTAAAGTGATTAGCGATATTCAGTTGACGACTGACCACTGTATTCAATTGAAAGAGGAGCAAGATAAAGGAGTTCGGGACCTTTGAAAAGGAAAATATGTTTTTGCTGTATTACCGGCAGGTTATAGCAAAAGTTTGATTTTATTACCAAGCTTTCGAATGAGCGCGTGATTATCAAACGTCATGGAAAGCAGCTATTATTGTAATATCCCCATTGAATAGCATTTATATTAAAGACCAGCTAAAAGATACGGAACGGCAATGTTTCTCGTCCGTGGATGCTTAAATCACTATAATTACTATAATCACTATAGTCTATACTCTATAATCACTTTCAACTTAACCTATTCGCTATAAATTGATCGAAAAAGTTGCTTCGAGTTGCTGTTGTTGTTGTTAGCAACTTGTCCTGGGATGGGGCATCTCGTTCTTCTGCATGTGTCGAGGAAAAAAATTTTTATTACTAGATTTGACACACACATTCAATTTCTTTCTTTACACTTTTGTTGTGTGATTTCTTGGCAACTGCCGTTTAGTTCTCTCGCTCAGATCGTCTGAAACCGTATCGTTTTGTTCTTTAATTATCGTTCTTCCTTTACAAATTTATATAGTTCAGCAGCGTTCCTTATTTTCCTTACAAAGTTTACACACTCGATCCGATAAAGCTTCGATTCAACTCAAAGCCAATGGACTCGCACGCGTTCGCTAAAATCAAATTCTGACTCTCTTGTCTGTCTGACGGCTTAAACAAATTTTCAAAGGAAGGTTCGCTTTCAAATACTGCTTTTAGATTGCTGTTGCCAAAACCTGCATGTATCGTTAGCGCTTGCCTATTTTGCTTTTCTACCTGTTTTTTTACAATATTTTTGGCATTAACATAGAAATACACTTAGTATACACGCACGTTAACTATGATTATGCATAGTGTTGTGAAACCGGATCTGTCACTGGGAAAACCATTATTTGCGTCTAATCACTGATTGGCTGTTTTTTAAATGGCGGGACTTGGGAAGATATGGGAAAACATATGGCTTTCCTGCAGGCGCTATTTCTTACTCGCCCCTCCCATTTTTCCTCGTCCTCTTTCTCTCGCCTTCGCATCCCCCCCTTGCCCCCGTTGCTTCTCCAACCCTCACCCTTTCCCCTGAATAGCGCCTGCTACGCAGGCTAGCTTGCTACATGGCACAGGAGATTTGCAACCGATCAGTAAGGATGTTGTCAAAGCCATGGGGTTCCAACAAAATACATAAGGCAATGGAAAGAGCTTCAACAGCAGCAGCTGGAGTTCAGCAGATTGTAAAGAGATTGAACAAGGTCTCGGATGTGAAGAGAGTATCGCAAGCACACATTCACAAAAGCGTGACAGAAGATGAAGTGTTGACAGTGCAGGACCTGAGGAAGATCAAACAATTTGAGAGAAAGCCAGGAAAGCCACTTTGACAAGATTCAAGCTATGCCAACAAGTGAACTTGACATGAAGTCCTTTACTCTTTTCATTTGGCTTCAAAAGCATAAGAAGCATTATACATAAGAGTAAACATTATACAGGCTACAATATGAAAATATATTTGTTACATAATGGTGGTATTTACAGCACCTGTTTTTTTTTAATCAGAGTTCTGTATATACATTTATATCAGTATACATTTCCATGGCGGATCATGAGTTCAAATTCTTCGATATTAATTATTCGACTTTCCACTGCAAAATATCACTTATGATATCAAAATTTGATAAATTGCACCATGATCAAATATATTGTTTAAAATTTACGCCAGGTCCAATACAAATCATTTATAACAGCTGACTTCGATAAAAACTTGTATTTATGAAATATTTTTGATTTTGAGTCTTCCCCCCTGTATGCCATTGCTAAAAAAGGCCAGGTCGCCAAATAATCCAAGATTTTTGGATTATTTGGTAACCTGCAAATCAGAGTTTGCTAGGGGCCCCTACGCGTGCACCAGAACATTTAAACATGGGGACCCTGGGTACGAGGTTGAATGTAGCGTACTCGACATAACTTTACTTGTAGGTGGAAATGCCGGAAGTTTTATTTGTTGGGCACCGCATTTTAGCGCTGTGTCTGATTATGTTTTAATATACTCATTAATATTTTCTGAAAAGTCAAATGGAAATCAAAATCATCAGTGAAGTAGCAGTTGTATCTATTTCATACAAAATCCTGCCGATTTACCTAAACTTTAAGTTGTACAACATAATTTAGAACTTCAAAGCTATTGACGAATAGCGCGAACCTTTCGCACAGTCTATTTGCATTTGTGCGTATTAATAGAGGTAATACAACAGTGGGTCATTCCATTTACTATCCGACAGTAAATATCGAAACTCAAGGAATATGGAATTCTTTTCCAAAATTATTTTCATTTACTATCTGCACCCTCCGTACGGATGAGCTTTTGTCAAATGTTTCCAGCAGGATCGGATAATCTATAGTTTGAAGTCCGGAGGTGTTACTAAAGGTGACTTACGGGAATCAGTCTTTCAATATATAACCTAGTGTGGGAAATATGACTGAGCCTTATTTTGTTATAAGTCGAAGTAAAGCAAAACAAAGAGCGCGTGAAAATTGTTGACTGGGCCCACGATGTCATGCATGGAATACTCAGCAACATTTTTCTGTATATGTAATCTGCAATCGCGCACACAGTGCTAAAATTTACCTGACAATCTCAGGATCTCCACACATGTATAATTGACAATGATGTATATATCCTTCCCTCCACATGGAGGAGGAGATATAGTATCGCTTGAACGTAACCATTCTGAAACCGGTCTTCCCTCTACCTTTTCAGCGACTTCACAGAATCCATTTGGGGCGGTACAGTTATTTGTAGGCTGCGTATTACATTCATTGCGTCCAACTATGTGACCATATATGACGTCATGTACGCGGATATTTTTAGAGGGAGTACATCTAACTTCTTTCCAGGCCGAACAAATAATTTCTAAAATAAGAAAACAGTTAAATAAGAATTATTATTATACATTGTAGTTTGTAAAAGCAATTTGATTGGCTAAGAGCTTACAGTCAAATCGCGCAATCACGCAACCTACAGAAAATTCAGTTATCTGCTAGCAGATAACTGAGTTATCTGCAAATGAGCTTGCGATGATTAGCAAGCGGTATCTATTTAACACAAACAAATGTATAATAAAACAGTTATTATTGAATTCGGTTTTTGCGATATGCAAAATTATCAAGGTCTCGGTAAGCGTTATCAGCCTCGCCTTCGGCTCGGCTGAAAACACTTACCTCGACGCGACTTTGATAATTCCGCATATCACAAAAACCTCATCCAATAATTGTTAATTATTGCGCATTTCTTATACAATTTATGTTTTGATTAGTTGCTGGCTTACAGATAATTCTTGATGTCGCAAATTATGACGTCACACCTGCAGACATTAAAATAGTTTTGTACGTCTAGTAAAAAAACAAGTTTATATAATTTAAAGAGCTTTGGATCGTTACACTAGACTTCTGGACTTTTACGGTTAGACTTAGTGGGAACTTTGTCGGACGAAACGCAGGAGGTAAAACAATATTTTCTTGTTTTTATCAATGTTCCGTTAAGCTATGCATGCAGTAAATGCAACTATATCAGCCGCTTTTCCCAAATACATAATAAATATCTTTGAATATGGCGATTTTTACTCTACCCACTGCTTAGCTTTTACCTAGTAACCTTTTCCTGACATAAAATTTTGCTGAGCTATCCATTTTCAACTCCTTAGTGCCCACCTCAATCCCAGTCATAAACAATGACAAGTCCTGATAATGTTCGGAGCTCATCAGCATAACAGTGAGCTTAAGGAAGTGATGTTTTTTCAACACGAACGTCAGCCGAAAATTGGTATAGAAGAATGGTATGGAAAGGAAGCAAAAAACTTGAAAATTCTTATGCTTTCTCGTATGTGTTGATGATTGCCGCAGGCACAAGCACAATTTTTAATCCAACCCCCCCCCCCTCGGCAATCTGATGTCCTTGTTGACAAAAACGTCGCTTTCTTAGCTTAATTATTTATTGAATACATTATATATCAAACTCATTTAATAATTCCTTGCATTGAATAAAAAGTATAGGGGTGAATTTTATACCAGAACAATGCAAAATTGCTGTAAAACTGTCAGGGACGCAGCCGCAGGGACATCAATATGGTTCTCATTACCTATATCTAAATTTAAAAATCTTATGAACATACAAGTAAAATAAATTTAAAACCAGAAAAAACCATTTTGAAAGTCCGAAAGTGCTTGGAGAAGAATGTCGTCCACATTTCTAGCACGAGGTGGAAGAGATACTATGTGATCGATAAATAAACAATTACTTTCTTTAGCCAGCTTTCCGTGTGATTTTCTACGACAGGCAATCGGTTGGTTTTGAATGCGCGATCTGGGAACGAGATCAATGATGCGACTGACTGTCTACAGTTTCGAAATTTGCTGCGCCGCTCTTTTCCAAATATTATATCCTCATTTTCTTTTTGCTTAACGTACCGTTGTTGTTCGTTTAATTTTTCCTGAATGTTTTCGTAAATTTTTCCAAGTTTTAGATAAAATTATTAGTTTCTAATCTGTTCGCTCATATGTCTTAGTTTTTCCCTTTCTATCCAATTCATGTTTTGCCGACTACGAAAACAATTTGCCGACTGCGATTCAAAAATTTGCCGACTACCTGACGACTGGGGAGGGGGTGTTCCATCCCCCAACACAACCCTTTTAGCGTCGCCCCTGGAATGTTGCATGCAAAACTATATTTTGTAGTGCTGCACTCAAAAATATAAAAATAACTCGGAGCTAACAAAAATTAAGCTTTAAAATGTACAGTGTTCGTTCTAAATGGACCATTCCATTTACCATGTCCACGCTCCCCCACACCAATGGAGGAGGAGGGGTTTTTTATCCTAACCTTTCCTGCGGGGTAGTTAGAGAGAGTTTTTAAACAAGTGGCAAAAAATTTGGTTTTTTCGTGATATCCAAAGGGGAAAAAGCAATGTCCTAAAGGGGTTAGTAAGATATCGTATGGGGTAACTTTCATAAATTGCATCCAAGGGGAGTTCAATTTTTGTTACTATCTCATATCCACTATGTCATCTTGTCGTTTTATTGCTTGCTTGATTGCTTGCTTGATTGTATTGGACCTCACTACGGGCGTCATACTTGGAAGCACGTCACAATTGGTAAACACGTTACTTTCGGCAGTTGTCGCCATTTATCCTGAATATTTAATTTTGAGCAGACTTCCCTGTTGTCTGGTAATGTTTTCAAAACAGTTGAATATATTTCTCGAGTATTCTGTCTGGCGCATCACATTATAAGAGCCTGGCGGGTTGATTGTCTGGCTTTAAAAAATATTCGTACTATTTAACAAATAGTAAGTGATATGGTAAATCATCTTCGTTTATCTGTTAGACACAGAGTATTCTTATTCTTTCGTCATAATAACGATCGCAGTCGTTAACTAAGCTACTGAAATCAAAATATACTGGCTGCTTAAACTTTGAAAGTGATATTCCGAAACATTATTTCTATAAAGTTGTTTTGAAGCTAATTCATATCATTTCGATGCGAAGAAAATATATTCGTGACAAGCATTATCCCAGTTAGTCAGTCCAAAGGGAAACAATATGTTTACTGAATGACCGGCACTTAGGAACCGCAGAAACATATTTTAGCACTCACAAAATAATTTGGGTAACATTTAGATAATAAAACAAAAATTATACCGGTAATAAATTGTTCTTTTTCAAACGTAGGCTGTGAGTACCCAATAATAATATTGCATTGAAAAAATAATTTGGAATCAAATTACTTTTGTAATGTTATACAATATGAAAAAAACAGCTAGTATTTTGCATAGGCGCATTTTAATGTTCTTCACTATTACGAAATTCCGTACGTTTTTCTCGTTTATAGCGTGTATAAGGAATCGCCTTTTCGTTTCTTCAAATTGATTGAAGAATTAAAAAACACAATCTCCGTAGCTGTGTAAATAGTGATAGTAACATGTACGCGCTGAGTACCTATTTTTCACATCCTATAATTTTTGTAATTGATAATCGCTAAAGCTTGCTAAAGCTTAAAGTGGAAGTCAAGTCTGTTCTGCGCATCGGTTCTGCTCAAAACAATGTGGGGACCCTCTGATGTAAATATTGCCCAAATTTCGAATGTTTCGAATTTTTCTGAACATAAACTCTATTTCATATTCATTTAGAAGTATAGCGAACCAAAATAGTGTTAGATATTCAGACAGCACATCATATTTTAAAAAATACAGCAGTTCAAAATGTAAACAAACCGTTTGTTTACATACAGACTTGACTTCCACTTTAACTATAACGTAACAACAGTTAACATTCATCGAAGCACGTAAACGAACGTATATTCAAGACCGTTTACACTACGCTCAATTTTTGGTACGGCACGGATGAAATTGGTACCCGTACCACTTTTTTGGTTCTTGGACTACCTATTTAGCTAAGCCCCGTTTACACTACGCTCAATTTTTGGTACCGTACCACTTTTTGGTTCTTGGACTACCTAAATAGGTAGTCCAAGAACCAAAAAAGTGGTACGGGTACCAATTTTATCCGTGCCGTAACAAAAATTGAGCGTAGTGTAAACGGGGCTTCAGTTATGTTAATTTCCAAACGTAGAAATTGAATTCTGATTGGCTTCACATATAATATGTGTAAATGAGACCATAGATATGCATATTTTTTGTAAAATGTGCGAATTCTAAAGACTTTATCATGTCAGTGTCAGTTAATCACAATTTCGATTTGAAGCTATGTCGACATGTGTAGTCGTGTAGATCACTATAGAGTCTAGAGATTGCCTAACGTACTAGCGCATCGTGCGAAAATATGTCTGGATATACAAAGTTTTCAATCTTGTGCAGACATGTGTCCAACTATTTGCAAAGAAAATGTTTGAATCTTAAAACTTCTCCAGACACTTTGGGCGCTTTCCACTAACACGGCCAGACCGGTCAGAACGGTCAATTGTTGAATGGAATACAAAATGTTTGGGCTTCGGACCTATCTGATCGGAAAATTTAGATAAAATTAGAATGAGGACCATTTTCGCTAGATATTTGAGAAACATAGACCAAATCTTTCCATTGATACAGAGACAAAAATTCGGGTCTGATCGGCCAGGCCATTAAATGGAAAGAGCCCTATAAGAGTCACAAGAGAATACATTAATTAGTCGTTCAGCCTTCAAGGTCAAATCTCAAAAACAGACTGGCCATAAAAATTTTCTAGCGATCCATTTTCTTTATCGATTCTAAATTAAAATCGTTGCACTCTGGCTCGCCGTGTTTATATGCATGCTTCAATGTACATGATATGTACATGTCCTCACTATAAATCTCGTAATGTCATGATTGATTCATGAACGAATTTAAACTCTTCACAAATATGTTTGCCTTTGACTTTGGGAATCGAAATATTTACGAAACATACTGTATTGAGTAGCGCAATGACAGAGTATAGACATATGTTGCAATTTTGCCCATTGAGAATTGTGTTTACTTTACAGCATATGATATGGCACGAGACTGTCGATCCAGTCATCAAATTCCATTGAAAATGAACTAAATTTTCGTGCACAAACAGCGGCCAGGTCGACTTCCAAAGTTATATCAGTTAACATTCTGCGGATATTCTGAGTTTTAGCTTACTAGGCAAAGAATGGCATGCATCAAGCGTGCCAGTTTTTCAGGGAAAGAGCGAGACGTCTCGAGTTATAACATCTCATGCATGCAAATTTCGCGTTTACGCTCCGTACGTAAGCAAACGTATGTAAATCACCAACACACTGCCAACTTTCGTGCGAATAAATTATGCCAAACGTTTATCCAATAAGGGCTTGCTATTATACGGTTGAGAATGGATTGAGTGCTATCAGCCAATAGGGAACTGCAGTTTTGACGATTGTTTCGTTCAGTAATGAGGCTTTACGTTCGTTTACGTGCTTCGATGAATGTTAACTATTAGTGTAACATATAAAAATATTTAAGAAGTAGACTATAAGAAGATACTATTTACAGGATGAAGAGTTTAACTAATGACTACCAGCATTCCCGGCTTCAAGTTGTTTAAGGCTTTCGTCAAACACGAAAAAATAAATTTCGATATGTCGCTATCAGTTGACTTCATTATGTCAACTGATAAAGTTGGTTCGTTTACGTTTGTCTCGGTAGTAGTGAGCTCGTTTTTTAGACTGTTTATAAAGTTTACTCGAATGTCACCGTAAGCCTCGCAAGGGAGGAGGAAATGAAATTCATTTTCGACTTCATCCGTGTGACAGGCTACACAATCGTTCTTCTCGGGCTATATTATGGTAGCAACCAGTTTCAGTCTGAAGGCTATGGTTACTTAATCTGAATCGTGTTAAGGTTTTACTTTTGTTTGAGTCTTTTATTACAGATAAGTATTTTTCTAGTTCGTAATCCATCTTGATGGTTATAGGCGACATAAATTCAAAAAACCGATGTAGCAAAAACAAAGCAACGCCAATCTGCCTAGATTAGACATGCTGCAGTACCGCACCACTACAAACCACTTATTAACAAAGATATCTTGACAAACAGTGCAGGTGGGCGGCATAGGGTAGGTCCCCGTAACCCAGCAATACAACAAGTTTAGCCCATAACATGGAAGGAGAAGGGGAAACTACATGCCTCTCTGAAAATAACTGAGTTGAGACTGCGGATGTTGTCTTGGAATTGCTCTGGTGCAGCTGGCTGGTCTCGTTGTGCTGCTTGCGGACGAGTTCAGCTTTGTTAAGATCAGCGAAGTTGATCGGTTATGGATCAATAGCGTCAGTCATAGGGAAGTTGTATGCTCGGCTTCGACACGGGTAGTAAGCCAAGTCCAAAATTTCGGAATCCAAACGTGTGTGTCTTCGTGGCAAATGGCGAAAAGTCCTATTTCTCCGGGTTTTTATCTGTTTTCCCTCGTTCCCATGGGTCTTTGTTCATTTTACCATTAATATTTTTGTTCAAGGTAATGGTTTCTCACGGGCTTTAGGACAAATTCAATTCGAGAACAATAGTATTCTATCTAAATGGCGGTTAAAATAAAGTGTACGGCACCTGAACTGTTCAATATCTTGCTTCTGTATCCATAAAACATTTACATATATGCAAATACTGTATATTTTGAAAATCCGCCATATTTATTTACGTTAGAACCCATGCTTTCGCGGTTCACAGGAAATATCAACGTCGGTAATTTTCGCTAATAATAAGAGGGTAGGATTAAAGTGGGCGTTGTCACTCGCTAACCCAATCAGCTGTCTGGGTTCTGTACCACGTGACCTGTTCAAATCGTTCCGAGCGGGAGGAATCTTATGACATCATAACAGCCTCGATAAATTATTTTGGGGACACGTTTGTGCCATATAAGGAAGCATGGTTTCCTCGCGCTTCGAACGATTGAACAATTGGATGATCCTACCCTCTTATTATTAGTGAAAATCACCGACGTTAATATTTCGTGTGAACCGCGAAAGATGGGGTTCTAATGTAAATAAATATGGCGGATTTTGTAAATATACAGTATTTGCATATATGTAAATGTTTTATGGATACAGAAGCAAGGTATTGAACAATTCAGGTGCCGTACACTTTATTTTAACTGCTATTTAGATAAAATACTATTGTTGTCGAATTGAATTTGTCCTAAAGCGCGTGGGTTTCTTTGTTCGACGATCGCGTTTTTGGCATTGTTTGGCGAAAACTCCTAGTGAGTATAGTTTTATAAATAGTGTCGCAAAGCTTGTACTTTTGGGAGTAGATAAAAGGCGACCGCGGTCGGAACGACCGTGGAAGACGGAGCATTTTACCGCAACTGACTTTACAATATGTTTTCACCCGTTCGAATCCTTAGCAAGGATTCTATATATATATATGATACGCTATACGCCGTCTTTCTTAGCGAACTCTTGGAAATATTGAATAAAAGTTTACTGGGATTATTTTCAATATAAAACAACAAGGCAGCACTATTTAGAGTACGAAAAAGTGAGCAAGTAAATGTTATGTAATAACCCTGCTCAACATGCAGAAGCTTCAAAACTAAGGCACTTTTTTACAATATTTTCAACAGTTTTCCGAGAAAGACGGGGTATAGCCATCGTACATACGCATTGAATGCGGATTAAAAAAATTCATTGCTAAGAATTCGAACGGGTGAAAACATATTATAGCTATTGCTTTCTGATCATTTGTCATATGAACTTTGCGCTAGCTATCCTTGGAATCTCTGAGTTAGAACGTTTCTTAAATGTTCTAATTCATTGTCAATATTACTTACCTCACAAATTGTTTTCACTCGGTTGATAAGTGTACACACGGAGTTCTTAATACTAGTCTAGGAGGATTAAATGAATTATAATGCAGATACCCGTCTTTGTGTGTTGGTTTCCTATCAATCTTATTCCTAGCGACCAATCTTCGCTACGTCTGAAATGGCGTGGTTGATGTAACCGTTTAATTAACTTTCAAATGACACGAGCCATCAGATCGCGACATTTTTCGTACACAAAGAGGCGTGTTAATTGAACAAGTCACATATTATTAGCACTGATGAAGATGGAGATTACGTGGTGTTTCCACAAACAAAAAGTATTATATCAGATAAGACCACATATACCTTCTTTTTAAACGTGTCATTCGTTGTTTGCTGATTTAGAAGGAAAATTTTGCTGGATTTTCACTTTGTGTAGGCTACCGAATTCTCTATTATACCACCCCATAAAATCTTCCATTTTTACTTGCTGCCAACATGCTGCAGAGATGCGAGGGTCGACATGCACGAACCCATTTACATCAAGGGTTCCGACTCGAGTGGCACTTCTGTTTAGATCCCTATTTTGTGATTTTAAGTTTTCGGCAAGTTGACGTGCTTCAACAACACTTATTATGAGTGCAATTTCGGGATGACGAAATGGCACGAAAGGCCAAATAATTTATTGTTCTGATTTCATTCAAGAAGGACATGCATGAAACCATTAAAGAAAGCGTCCCTTCGTTTTGGAGAAATATAACTACATTACGTCCGCAACAATTAAGTGTCTCGGTATTTCAAATTTTCATATAATAGCGTATAATGACACATTTGTTCGGCTCATCCTACAGAGAATACTGCAGGAGTTAAGAACGTCGTCTGTATTGCTTGGTTCAATTTTCTTTATGCTAATGCAGAATGGCATGAAAGTATATTTCGACAAATATGCAGCCGTTTTAAAATAATTTTATAACGATTTTATTTCCATGCATATTTGGAGTCTATTTCCTTCAAACGGCAATAAAACGCCGTATCACAACAATGTTCTCCGCGGCCTTCACTGAAAACTTTACAAGGTACAAACTTCTAGATTCGTTCATATATATATATACTTTAAAAGCTGATGCAGAATGAAAAGTCACAAGTCTAGTTGACAACTCTGGTTCTACATTCGATCGTGGCTATTGGTTGGAATGACAAATGTTGGTCTGCGCGTCTTCCAGAGAAAACCTGATAAGCTAAAAATGTCTAAATTCGAGCCAGGAACGTGAAAGTGGAACTGTGTTTGATATGTGAAAGTAGAACAGTGTTTGACACGTGGATTTGAAGTTTAGGAGAGAAACATCAGAAACATACCTGAACTGTCAGGATGCTAACGTTGTTTCTTGTTGTATATGGAATCCCGCAAAAGCCAACACTACAGACCGCTGTGCGAGATCTGCCCCGATGTATCGCTTTTCTTGATGTAGCAGTATTTGCATTTATATATATATTAAATCCTTCCATTATATATTATACCCTTCCTTATATGGGCAATTTATTGGCATGCCTATTGATTGGGTTCAACACTTATATGCAAAACAAACACTGGCTCCGCCAGGGGCGAGTATAGTATTATGTTCGTTCAAATGCTGAACTTTATTCTAATATGAAATTCTAAGTGACTATGTTTCCCGCTGAATAAATTGTCAAGTATTCTGAAATCAATATTTGACACTGTTAAAAAGCGATTTATTCAGATTTTTATATTTTCAGTCCACTCTTCTCCACAGCCGTATAAATAAACACGAAATCTAGGTATACCCGGAAAATGTATGGCATTCATCTGATTGGTGAACACTATAGCTAGTCTTTGCGTTTACCTAAGGTGTTTAACTATATGGCTCTGCGAAGGAGAGTGTTTTCAGTCCAAGTGCCTTTGCAAGAAACATACCTGAATTGTCACAGTTAACTCTTTGAGTACACAGTAGATGAAACAAAGAAATTGCCAGGATATATAGATGAAGTGGTATACCCATTCTTCGCGCACACATACGTTAAATTGGGCAGCAACACAACTGTTTCTCAGCAAAATATCGATAAACTGTTCTTCAAATTCGCGGTTCAAGGAGCGATGTGACCATCTGCGCATCTTTTATGCGCACACCTAATATATGAAAACGTCGGAAATTGTATAATATGAAAACGTCGGAAAATTGTCAAGGAGCGATGAGTGATGTCTTCCTGTGATATGAATACGGTAAGAAAACATGAATAAATTTACATATATTTTTGTGCGATATTGATCGATCTTTCATGAACACAACGTAGGTTGAATATTGTAAATGCAAGCAACCTCGGCTAAAATTTTACATCACAAATTTTGCGGTGTAAATAAAATAAAACCACTTAATTTCAATGCGCGAAATTGATTTGTTCTTCAACAATTTCCTAATACTTGCCGCTCCAAGACAAGGTAAATTTTATATATTTTTAATCCTCGAGAAATAAGCTATCGGAAAATGTTTGAATCAAGTTTATACGATCAGAAATTAAGAAGTTAGGAGTCAATTTGGCAGCCGCTTGACTAAAATTGAATTGTTTACAACATGACAAAAAGATTACAAATCGATCTTATCTATAAGCTCATCCAATTGTTTTTGTAGCGACTTCGTTTATTTATATTTCGAAAGAAAGTCTTCTAATGATTTCAAAATATATATACCGTGTACGTCTCGCGTTAGGATAGAAAATATCTTTTTAAAATTTAATTTTAGGATCTCCGAACAGTTTGCAGAAGAAATAGAGAAAGTGCGGCAGAAATTATATACCCCGAGATGAGAAGAGCGAAAGCGGAATTAAAAGAAAGAGTACGTTTAGTGCGTGACAAACTTTTTATCAACAATGTGGAGTTTATTCCCGATAACAGTTAAAAGGTATTGCGTTAAAAATATTAACATTTTATATCCATTCTTGTTTAATATAGCTTCTATAAACATAAAGAAAAAATTATGCTCAACATGTCTTCGTGAAATAGTCATTGATAAAAGCGGTATTGTTTGTGCGGCGTGTGGGAGGTGGTTCCATGCCAGGAACGCTTGCATTGAATCACCTCACACATGTCAACGGACGGAAGTTGAAACATGTCACTTGTGCATAACCGATGCTTTGCCTTTTTAGCTCAATAAGTGAACTTGATTTTAATTTTACCTTTGGAGATTTTTCCCGACTTCCCAGCGAGAGGGATATGGATAGATTAATGCACCTTAAATTCAACCCTTTTGACATGCAACACACAACTACCGGAAATAGAGCAGGAAATAATGATTGGGACAATAACATGCGTTGTAGCATTGATAACATCTCATGTAAATACTATCTAAAAGATGTCTCGCGAGACATGCCAAATAAAAAACTATTTTCGATTTTGAATCCAAACATAAGAAGTATAGTAAATAAAGTCGACTCTTTTAAGATTTTGTTAGAATCGCTAAAACACTCATTTTCAATAATCAGTTTAACAGAAACTTGGTTTGATAATGAAAACTGTACAGATTTTAATCTTGATAATTGTAGCTTTGTTTGAACGAACAGAGACAATAAAAAAGGCGGAGGGGTTGGAATGTATATTTCAGATGATTTAAACTTCAAACTTCGTCCTGACCTTAATATTAATGAAGAAGGAGTAATTGAGTCACTCTTCATTGAAATTGTCACAACAGTTGGCAAGAATATAATTGTTGCGAATGGAAAATTTGAAATATTTGAAACTAGTATAAGTAAAATTCTTACAAAAATAGACAAGTAAAAAAAAATATCTTACTTAATGGGGGATTTTAACATAGACCTCTTAAAAAGTGAAAGTTGTGACATTTCGCACAGATTCAGTGAGCAACTTTTTACGTCATCATTTCTCCCTCTTATTACTAGGCCTACGAGGATAACGGAACACATCGCAACATCAATTGATTTCACTAGACGTTACTATCGCAAGTAAAATGCTGCCTCAACCCACCTTCCATCACACAAGCATGTAAACACCCCCAAGACGCCTGTTCAGGAGGTAGGAAAAGTGCCATTTGAATACGAAAACAACTTGCACAAAGTCAAAGGTCAGCAAAACTTCTAATCCTATAGACCTTTCCCCTTTTGAGTGAAATTTTGATCTAGACAAGTCTGGACAAAAATTACATCACAGCTTGAAAGAGCATCACAAAATTAGTAATATTCCGAAGTTTCGTTGCGAAATGTTGTAAAATGCAGATAATATAGCATTGCGAAGTTTGCCGTTCTTCAGTCATTTTGCATTACAAACTGCAATTAATTGGTAGTCAGATGATCAAACTGATTATAATGCAATTTCCCATTTGTAATACAAAATGACTGAAAAATGGCAAACTTCGCAAAGCTATATATTATCCGCATTTTACAACATTTCGCAACGAAACTGCAGAATATTACTTATTTTGTGATGCTCTTTCAAGCTGTGATGAAATTTTTGTCCAGGCTTGTCTAGACCCAAATTTCACTCAATATGGGAAAGGTCTATTGAAAATTGGCCCAAGTTCCAATTGGATTATTTCATATGGCTACATACGTTTATAAAATAGCATTTTAAAAACATGGGCGCTGATTGGTCAAAAGCTCAAAAAACCCGTGTTTATAATTCGATAGCCGAACACGGGGAATTTTTACGCGAGTGCCGGTTTCGTGGATTGCGCAGGAGTTTAAACAAAATTCCAACAATATTTAATTTTGAAAAAGTTGGAAAACGTCCGAAGAACCGTCACAAAAAGGGCAACGCTTTGCTAACTTAGAAAGCGAAGACCTAAAGCACAAAGTATACAATACAGCATACGTGCATCTGTTTGACCGAACTTTTCATGCGCCGAATCTAATGCAAGGATTAAGTGCGACGCTGGAGCGGCGTCTAAATCAATTAAATTCGGCAGGTTTTGATTAAGTTCGACACGACTCGAAGATGCGACAAGACAAGTCGTATGTGCGACTTAGGTTCGATATTGTTTTAGACGCCGTGTTTTCATGCGCCGAACCTAAAGCATAATTATTTTTTAACATTATAATAAATGATTATCATATCTTTAATCTTTAAAATTCTTTAAGCAAGGTAGCCATTCAGCATGCTACGCTGATTTTCAATGGGCCGTGCACACTATACATATATTAACCTAATTCTAAAATACAAAATAGTGAAGCCTACATACTCGTCAGCTTCACACTATAATATATACTAATACATTAAACAACTAATTATTCTAATTATAGTAAAAAACTACTGATATTACTGATTAACCCAAGGGGACTTAATCGGTTCTGTAGTGATTGATGAGCATAGATTTAGCAACATTTAGTGTGATATTGTAGACGTTTTGTCTAATGTTTTCCGGGAGATTGTTCCAAGATCTTCCCGCTCTATATGAGGAACTTTTTTTGAGAAAATTTGTATTAGGTTTCTCCAGGGAAAGTTGCCAACAGTTACTTCTCAAGTTGTACGTTTCGTTTGAACAGAAATTAAACATTTCTGTGAGATAATTCGGAGAATTAGCTGTATGTGCTTTAAAAGTAACAATATTTTCTCGAATAGATAAGCTTTTATGGATTGGCATCCAATCAAGTTTTCGAAATATTTCATTGGACCGTACATCGTATGAAGCGCCGGTTATCACACGTGCCGTTTTCTTTTGAAGTTTAAATAGCTTTGTAAGTTTACTTTTGTAGCCATCGTTCCAAACAGTGGAACAGTAATAGAAATTCGGAATTACAAATGCATTATACATTTTATTAAGGATATGTTCAGGCACAAACGATTTAGCTCTCCTTAATAAAGCAACATTGTATGAAATCTTTTTATTTTGTTCGTCGATATGCTCGTTCCGAGTTAGATGTTCATTTAAAATTACACCAAGCGTCTTTTTATTGGGTACACGCTTAATAACTTGATTACCAAGTTTAATTATGGGGCCCTGATCAAATGACGGGACTCGCTGGCATGAAGCTGTTATCATAAATTCAGTTTTCGTTTCGTTTAGTGTAAGTTTATTTGCAATGAGCCATTCGTTAAATTCAAAAGATCATGGTTAAGTTTTGATTCAATTTCTTCTACGGTTGGAGCACCGATAGTAAGAGTTGTATCGTCTGCAAATAATCTAGCCTTAGTACATAGTTTGGATTTGTATTACGTGCGGAAAATTTGTATATATTTGTATTACGTGCGGAAATTGTTACCATTTTCGGCTTAAAAATGGTAACAATTTCCGCACGTAACACAAACATACTGAAAATATGCGAACTTCGCAAGGCTATATTTTCCATATTTTACAACATTTCATAACCCAAATTTGCAATTTTACTGATTTTAATAAGTTCTTTACGGGAATTTACTTTTTTTTTGCCTAAATTAAAAATTAGTCTAACATGCAAGTTGTCTATTAAGTTCGACGTCTAAATCAGTTTCCGATATTTTGCCGTATCTACGACAATTCGATTCGGCGCATGAAAAGTTCGCCGTCTAAACCGGGCCTCAGCTATTTTAATTTTACTTTGTCTTTTTAAAAAAATATTTTACTATCGTTTTTAATCGTTTTTAATCATCGGTTTAAACGATTATTAACTGTTTAAAACAGTGCTTTCTTGCAAGCATGTACGTTGTTGAGTGAATTTTATACTTTAGCCCGACTAGTAAGCCTGTTCAGTGCTGTCTGTTGTTTTGACAACGATATACTTGTTTACTTGGCTATGCTTTAATTATTCTTTACACGAACGTATATTAAGATAGAATTAATATTTGAATGAATGTAATTAAGATCTGTAAATTCATCTTTTTTATTGTTTTTAAAAGGCTATTTAATAAAGGAAATAGAAAACATTTTTCCTTGTTCCTATATAGAGTTTATAGAAACACTTGTGGAAGTTTGGGAGAAACTCGAAATTGCGTGGAAACACTGCACTTCATGGTCGTGTTCCCGGGCAATTTCTCGTTTCTCCCAAACTTCCGATCGTGTTTCTATAACTCTATAGAAACACG